GATCATTTATTATCCATTAAGCGCTTATCCAAATTGTAGTCAGTGTTATATTTTTTAGATTATTTCGAGATGAAATTCTTTTACGAAATGTTTTAAAAATAACGAATATTATGTTTCTTTTTCCCTTAATTCATTAAAAGGTAAAAAGGAATTATTGTAGGTACAAAATTATAATCTACACCGAAAAATAAATTTTTGGAAATTAATTTAATATTCAAGCCACCACGCTCAACCCATACCTATAATAGTTTTTGATTTAAAAAAAAAGAAATTATTCAAGTTGCAAATCAAGAATTTCCGAACACCACTTTGAATTGATACAGATTTAATTTTAATCAAGCTTGGTAAAGAAAAATTGTAAGATTAAGAGTTAAAACTGACTATAGTCTATAGAGTACAAAAATAAGAACTAGGAAATTATAAAATGGTTAGTGGTTACAATATGTTTTTGAATCGACTTTTTTTCTTCAAGATGAAGTAAAAGAAGAGAAGTGTGTTTTTGGTATTAATCGCTGACAAATCTAATCTATGGATTTAAGAATTATTAAATTTAGTGATTATTTGGTCACTATAGGTAACTATATTAACTATGATATAACTTTTACAGTCACATTCAGACAAATTTTGAGCAATAATGTATAGAGAATGAATAATGGAAGTGAAGCATTCAGTTTTAAATTAAAAATAGAGAACCAATCACTAGGTATATCTTAACATATTTGAATTTTTAAAGTGTATCAATTAGTTAAGTAAATTTATAACTAGGAAATAAAAACATTGAAATTTGAAAGTATTAATCAGAAATTCATTAAAATAAAATCAAGCAATATTTGAAAAAGAAATTGACTTGTTGACATTTGTAAAATGTATTTTATACAAATATAAACCAGTATATAATTGTTATAAATATCTATGTTATTTTTATTTGTTAAATATTTAAAACTCATATAAACTATTCGTCCAAATTTCGACTTTTATGTATTAAAATATTCCTTAAAATACTTTGCTACAGTATATGATATTAAAAATGTATAATATAATCGTTCAAAAAAGTAAAAAAATATTTTCAAAAACGTTAGTAGATTTTTAATTTGAAATAATGAGAGTTGTTTGGTAAACGAATCAACATACATAATATATTACTGTACACATATTTCGAGCTTATACAACATCAATTAGTGTCTTGATTATTAAGTATTATAATATCAATTATAGCCTAAAGATCTAATTACCTATTTCTGACGAACTATAGACTTATCTTTAGCTTACCTCTTATCCGTGATAAGATTTTTACATATTTATTTGATATATTTTTACAATTATTCACGTGTGTCTCAAAAAGTGGTATAGGTGTTAAATACAAGTATTCACACATCATAACACCCCTCAGTGCCCTCACCATACCTATGTGAATTTTTCACCCATTCACAATAAAATGAATTACAACATCGAATAAATAACGATAAGTTATGAGTTATGACTCATGAGTATAGAATATAGTGATATATTGTTAGATAAAATTAAAAAGAAAATAACTGCCAATGGATAATATGTACTATGAATTAAGATAGTACTATTAATTATTATAAATTATACTATAATCAATGTTCAATTTAATAGACATTTGTAATGAAAACTTTTTTAAATTGATATTTATGAGTAATATTAAATTATATGAGACATAAAAAACAATCAATTAACTATATTAGTTGAGTTGTTGAGTAGCGTTCTTAGTTCTTACTAATACCTATAGACTATAATATATATTATTTTCCAGATTATTTTCTATATTGTTCCTAAATTTTTTAATATATATTTATTAGTTATTATACATTATCTATCTACTATACAGCAATATTTTACAGTGCCTAGGTGGCTAGGTGTACTTGTTATATTTTTTTATACATACTCTTCATCTGATTCATCATAATTTTTTTCGTACGTATCCAAAGTTTCCTCAGTAATATTTAAAGATTTTGATGACTTTTTTTGTTTTATTCTGAAATCTTCATAAAATAGACATAAACTAATTATTCTAATAAAGTACCTAGCTCAATAAATATATTAAGTATCAACTAATAATTAATATGCATTATACATATTTTTTATTTTAAATTTATTTTCGAACATTTACTTTCATAGGTTTTTTGTTGGGCAATAATTTTAGGTTTAACACTTGATAACTGTTGTTTTGCGACTAATTTATCAAATGAAGTCACATCTATTCCGTCGAGTATGTCAATTTGTGGTAAAATACCAATAACATATTCTCGATATCCATCGTAATCTGTACAAGGATTTCCAGTGAGATATCTGAATAAATTAAAACATAAATATAACAATTTGTGAAATCGTGATAAAAAAAATTCGAAGAAAATAGTCTGTTGTTATTTATTTAAACCAAAAATTACAAATAAAAACATTTACTGTTGTCATAAAAAAAATTTATTGTAAGTTTTAAATTTTTAGTTGAATTATACTATGACAAAAATGTTAAGTGAAAATTGTTCAATCACATAATATACTGATCGGTTTTGGTGAGTTGCGGCCAAGTCCCAAAATAATTTACGAGTTGCGACCCGGGTTTATAAAAGGTACGTACGAATTCAAATTCTTAGAAAGAATTAATTTCTTGGGAGATGTGTTTTTTGGTCAATATAGATAATAACAGAAAACTAAAATATATTGTTCATAAAATATAAGTTACAAGTTTATCTCGTTTTAAAGATAATATTTTGATTAAAACTAATGAGACTTTAACTTACAATGTTCTCAAATGTGTGTTGTTCTTTAAGGATTCAATGCTATCAAGTTTCCCTATAAAATTCATTGTTAAATCTAATTTGTTTAAAGATTCACATCGATCCAAGTTTTCTATTTTTTCAATACAATTCAATGCCAAATTTAAATATTCCAACTTCTTTAATTTGTTCAAATTTTCTGAAATCAAAAATGTAATAAGTACCTAGGTATCTAAATGGTTTATGAACATATAGGCATACTAAAAACTATTTTATAGACTAGAACAAGAGTAATTTTTTAACCTAATCTGAGAATCTATTCCTTATTTCCTTACGTTGTATAGTTCCCATATTAAATAAAATAAATTTAAAAATTAGTTTTTAAGTTTATTTAATTTCACATGTCTGATCATTGCCAAAGTTCCAGACAGACCAGACACGTAATTATGCCTATGTTCTTATAATTACCTAATATAAATAATCATAGTTACAACATAAATTCTCAGTGAATAAAAAAATTATTATGTTTAAATTAATAAGAACATGGAATAAAGTAAAAATATTTAATTATCTAACATTCAAGTTTTCAAAATGTATAATAATTGTAAGTTATATTAAATAAGCAGGCACAAATACAAAGGGGGGTTCTAGGGGTTCAACCTCCCCCCCCTCGAATTTTCAGGAAATAATAGTTTTATTATATACTAGTTTAGTTTTATTTAATTGTCCGAATTGTCATAGCAATATGGATTATATACATATCATGTACGAAAATGTACGACCAGCCCCCCCTCAAAAAAATAAATATTTTTTTGTGTACACGCCTGTAAATAAGCATAAATAAAAATCAGATATTAGGGGATCCATAAGACATATTATTATATTGTTATGTGACGGTTATTCGTCCTTTTTAAGGGCTTACTATAGTTACCGTGCACCTACCGCATCAGGGGAACACTCAGGTACATGGTGACCTATGAGAGTACACAACGAAAGAAAAATAGAAAAAACATCAATAATAATATTATTATGTTTGTAAACATATTTTTTAAACATATTATGTTTGTTCGGTTAATAACAAAGTGTGGTGTTTTTTTTAGATAGAGCTTGACTCGACCTGTTCTCAGGTCAGAGATCCCGAAAAGAATGAAAAGTACAGCGTCTCGGACGATTATCCAGGTCGATGGGTCGTTCGGCAAAAATGTCTTGGTAGCAGGGGACGTATAGTTACATTTTTAAGGGAAAACAAGTTGCTTTGGGTGCGCGTACCGGCGGACGGTAACGGCGACCAGAGGAATAATTGTTTTTGTTTACACCGAAGCACCTAACACTATAACACAGTGATCTCTAACTCAAATTACCTACGGGCCATATATTTTTTCAAAAAAAATTCGCGGGCCAAATTTTAAGTGTCACTTTTATACTTATACACTAGAAACTAAAGACAAAATTAAGGCAAAAATACATACAAAATCCATTTATTTACTTTTTATTACTACAAAATTATCATTGAAAAAATATAATGATCGTTAGCTTATAAAAAAATTATAATTAAAATTTAAAAATAGCTTGAATATTTGATAATTTTTATTTTTGAGCTGCACTATTTTCATGTTTTTGTTCAAAATGTATTTTTATAGCGGGCCACATAGAAGGGGTTCGCGGGCCACTTGTGGCCCGCGGGCCGTATGTTTGAGACCACTGCTATAACATGTAGGGGAACTAGGAAAGTCGGGGGATAAAACACTGTTGATAAATTATATTGCAAAATGCGTAACGTTATATAGTCATTAAAATATTTTGGGTACCTAAATTATTAATTCTTAGGTCATTACTGGTCCATTATTCAATAGTTACTCATTATAATATTTGTTTTAATTATTCAAATAAAGCAAGTAAAAATTATTATTTTAAATTTTTTTTAGAGATTTTTAGTTTATTAATTTATCATTTATCAAACACACATAAATCATAGACCTATCTATATAAATATCTTTATACTTTTTTAGGTCCCTAGTATGATTAATTTTGTACAATATTCAATTAATTTTCTTTCTTTAATGTACAAATTAAAATTTAATGGTACATAAAATTGCAATTATTTAAAATAAATAATATGCCGATTGTATATAGTATAGAATATACATACTGTTTGGTTATTTTAACAGTCCAACATAAATATAAAATAATTGCTTAATATTTTAATGTAAAAGAACATAACTGTGTTTTAATGAATAATATACATATTACATAAGTTATAAATATATAAAAATATATTTAAAAAAATAAATTATCCTTACAAATACCACAAAAAAAGAATAGTTACTTATACACTCTTGTACTTAACTATAACACTATTAAATAATTAACAGAAAGATAAATGTAGTACAGTAATTATTTTTAATAATTAACAGTTAACTGGATTGAGGAGAATTGAATGAGCATACACAAAACATAATATTCCGCCTTGAAAAAAATAGATGTATAACTGGCGAGTTCTTAGTACCAAATGCTCGAAGTAGGTATTTAGAACTATTATTCAAAACGGTTGGGTTATGTACATTCATATCATCCAATGAGAGATCTTCTAAAAGTTTTGAATAATCCCAGAGCATTATTTTACAATCATGTGAGCCAGTAGCTAAAATAGTACTGTCTCTACTAAAGGTAATTGTATAAATAGGTCCTTTATGTCCAGTAAGCATGGCCACTAAATGCCCATGTGCAATGTCCCATAGAAGTATATTACAATCATTGCCAGCTGATGCTAAAACTCGTCCCTCATTTGAAAAACACAATGTCAAAATTTCTCCTTTATGACCAGTCATCAATCGTACTTGTTCTCCTGTGACACAATCCCATAAACGTACAGTTCGGTCACTTGACCCAGTTGCTATATAATTCGAATTAGGGTGAAACTGACAACAATCTACATCTGAAAAATGACCACTGAACAACCTTAATGCCTGATAATTATCTGTTGCCCATAATCTTGCTGTACGGTCTCTGCTAGCAGTTGCAAAATAATAACCATGTAAACTGAACTTGACATCAAATACAGGATGATAACTTCCCTTATACGCAACTACACATGACCATAAAAGTAAACTCCAAAGTCTAATAGTGCAATCTTCTGAACATGACAATAATAATGTTTTATCAGGACTAAAAGATACTTGATATACAGGACCATAGTGTCCAAGTAATGTACGAGTGGTTTCAGCTGATCTATCATCAAGTATCCTATGCATTACATCATCTGATTCCAGATCTATATCTAGTAGTTGATCGGCTGTTTTCATGGCACGCAGTTTTTGAGGTACAAGGCTCCATACACGTACTTGACTATTAGCCATTCCTACAGCCAACATTGTTGCATCATCACTAATGGTTGCACAATTCACAGCATTAGAACAGTTTAATAATGTATAACAACATATAGAAGGTAATGTTTCATGGTTTAATGCTACTCGTTTAGCAGAATCCAAAACTGCTTGAACCTTAATTTTTTTATCAATCTGAAAAATATAAATATTTAAATATTAAAAAACTATATTATTAATATTACAAAATTAGTGTGCATTATATAGGATTTACATTAGTTTTATAATTTAAAATTTTAATGTAATTAAATTTAGAAATTAAGTTATTATATTTTTACTACAAAATAAATTATTGTATCCGTTTTGAAAAAAAATTATTAAACTATTATTACATATTTAATATTAATTGGATAAATAAAAAACTCAAAAGTATTAAAATAACTCTAAAAATAAAATATGATTTAAATTTCCAATAAATAAAATATTTCATTCAAAAATTGACTAGATAAGATATTTTTGATTTTAATACAATTATTAAAGAAAATTTTAAATTTTAAGTCATTACAAGTATTTTTCCCTTATAATGATTAAGTAAAAGGACAATCCAGTTGTTTTAAAGGTAGATAATGGTTAACACTCAACAAAAAATATTTAAGTATTAACTATCTATGACAGGAAGTTAAAAATATTACAAAAATTCCATTATCGAGTTTTGAATTAATGGGTGGTAATATATTAAAATATATATTAAATTTTAAGAATTTCATTTTAAAATTTTCAAACAAATTCTAACATTTAAAAAAAAAATTACTATTTTTATATTAATATATTTACCTCTCTCAGTTGTGGTAATGGCATTCTATCTAATGGTGGAGCATTAGGATCAATTTTAGTTTTTTTAGATAATAAAGGATTAGACTTTGATTTCTTTTTTTTTGGTTTTTCACTCTCTTGAGTTTCTTCTTCATCTTCATCTAAGTTAACTGTTGCTGCTGCAGTTTGCAAATCAGGTTCTTTCAATAACCCATAATACACTCTAGATTTATTGTCTTGTCGAGTTCCTTCTCCAATCATACCTCCTGCTACCGCATCAATTTGTTGTTTGTTTCTAGCTATTCCTTCATATACATCAAAAAATAAATTTTCTTGAACAATATCTAATAGGACAGTTTGTTTTTTTTCTTTCAAATGCCGTTTTAAAAGAGATAAAGTATCCCTAGACATTCGAACAACAAATTCATTTGATTTGTAATTACTTATCAAAGCATTATCATCTAATTCTTCTTTTTTGGTAATTACTGCCAAGTTTTGAATGTCAGCTTGATAGTAAGATTCTTGTTCAGGTCCAAACTTATTCATAAACTTCAAAGCTTCAGCTTCATAACGATTACAAACAAGATCTAAATACATGTGTACAAATACTGGATATAAAACACAGCCCAATTCGTGTTTGTAAATATCTAATGATGTTTCAACAAATTTTGATAGAGTTATATAAGCATTCTCATACACTGACGGATCTCCTTGGGACTTAAATATGTTTAAGGCATTATTAACATCATGCTCTGAAGTATTATATGCAGAATCTGTTAAATTTGCTTCTTTTTTCAAAGTTTCCGCAGTAGAATTTAAGTTATACTTTTTGAGAATTTTCAATGCAACGCATAAACTTGTTTTTTTATCATCTGGTTCTTTGGGGATTTCATCAATCACTGGTTTAATATCTGGCTTAATATCTTCTTCCATATTTTTGAACAATGTTATAAGCTTATAATAATTGTTTTATATGCAATTATTATACAACTACAGATCATAAAATCATAAAATAATATTAAACTCTATGATAAAATGTAATTAACTATTGAAGTATTTGATATTAAAATTTTGGAAGGTAAGTTCAAATGTATAATAACGACATTCAGGTCTTGAAGTTAAATTACTCTTTAAATAAATTAAAAGTACACTTTTTAACGTAACACGATTTAAACTTTGAAAAATGACTTAAAAAATTTTTTACTAAAAAATGTATAAACAAAATATTTTTCATGATAAGATTTTATACAGTGTTTACTGCATGAAAACTAGAATATTCAAGTCTTTATGGTTTACAGTTTATACAGTGCAGCCATAAGAACGTTTGAAATTAATAAGCAAACATTTTTACACGATATTTGTATACAATTTGTTCACTATTGTATTATTTATATTATAAAAGTTTATTTAGTACAAATTATAATGGTAAATATCTACTAAATGAGTATATAGTTATTATATTAAACTATGAATAAATAATAGGAAGGAGCTTGCTTCGTGAAAAACTGTAAACACAGCATTGAGCGTAGGACATACCACATACCTATTATATTTGTTTTTTTCCGTTATAATCTAAAATCTAAATGATTTAATCTTATGAATAATTTAAGAAACACATTTTCGTCGATCAAATTTATTATGTATGTATATGTTTTTAGTGTTTAAGATTTCTAGAATGAAGATTATCTCATTGTAAAAAAACAAAAAAAAAAAAAAAATTACATAATATCTATGTATAAGTGTTTTTAAAACTATTACGTGAATAATAAACACGATTTATCAAATTCTGATACAGTGACATACTGATATCTACCTAATTTATAGTTTATACCTATTATTAACTTAAACATTGGGAAGGTCTTGTTTTTTAAAGATACCTATATCTTTTTTTAGAGACTAAAAGTCGTATATTTTTGGAAATGCATTCATTAAATTATGGTCAATTCTGTCTGAAATAAAATGTTTTATAAATTATCCACATTTATCTAATATTTTAGATTATAATAATTAAAAACTAATAAATATCCTAATAATATACTTATATAGGTATACATAAAAACAAAATCACTACTGTTCGGAGTGCATTCTGATGGATGCAATAAATTCAAACCATATATATTTGGTGTATTTTTACAATTTATACAATTTATTTTATAAGGGTATCTACAAATACAAATTTTGATATGAATATGAAGTTATATACGTATAACTTGACATTTTATTACGAAACTTTAATACCTACATTCGATTACCTAACCTTATTAGTTATTTGTAAATTATACTGACCTATTTTAAATATTAAATTTGATTGCAAAAGTAATATTTTTAAATCTTTACACCAATTTTGTAGATTTTCTATTTTAGTAATATCTTCCTGGTGTAGTGATATTTCTTCTAAAGTGCCGATCTCACCTTCGTTATGTTCAGAACGTTTCCTTATAAGTTCAATTGTAACTGGAAAAATTTTTGAAATAATACAGATTATTACATCCCTAATTGATTGTTATTATTATAATCGCAAATGAGATATAAAAATAAAATGTATAGAAATTATTTTATTATTACCGATGGTTAGGTTACTAGGTATTTACTAGGTATTTTAAATTCGGAGCGAAGCGAAGAATATATTGATTTTATAATATGTAATTTAAAATGTAGCTAACATAAAGAAATTAATATGTATTTACAACTGAGTCTAGTCGTATAGTAACGCAAGGTTAAAGATAGTTTTTAGTAGCGAATTGGATTTTGCACTTTAAGGAGTAAACAATTTTTAATGTACATGCATTACGGTTTAGACTGTTTGGAGTGTAAACAATAATAAAAGACTATAAAATACGTTTGTGTAATTTATTAATTATTCATATTAATAACACATAACAGTTATCAAAACATTTTGACTGTTTTTCAGTTATTTATATTATATAATTTATTATGTAATTATTATACTATTTAGGCACGAGAAATTTTCGATATAAATATTTTTTTATATTTATGTCGATAAAAAATTATTTGCAATTTTTTTATTATATACATTTGTATTGAAATTTAAATGTATTTAAAATTCATCAAAATCAAACATTTGTTCTAACTATAAGATGTAGTTCGTAGTAAAAAACGTATAAAATCTTCAATTTTATTAGCTATAAGGTTTGAAAATTTAATTCAATATTCTTCACTACTAGTTCACACTGAGACTAAGAATACAAAATATAGAAATAATTTTATTTTTTATAGATATTTAAATTTCAAATTTGGACAAAATAAATTTTTAAACAATAAATAACAATACTCATTATTTTGTTATAATTTAAAAACATTTCTGTGAAAACTTAAAATATTTAAGTAAATCATGAATTTGACTTTACGTAAAAAATGTACATTTATAAATAATCTTACAATTGATAAATATTTAAACTTCTACTACAATCATAAAATAAGTTGTAAAAAAAAGTAATATAATGTATGATTAAAATAAAATTCACACAGAATTCAAAACAATTTAATTTATAGCACCCCCTCCCCCCTAAAAAAATCTTAGATATGCTGCTGTTTAAAGAAAGATATTGTTACATTTTTAAATATATAAATGATATTATGTAGGTAATATGATATAAATATATATTGTTATAACTATTGAATACTAATAAATAAATGCAATATTTTCAGATAAAATTAAAAGAACCTATACTGTAGTCTGTAATATTATTTGTAAAAATAAAATTAATAACTTTTATAACTATGTATATCAAAAAACATGTCACGAAATATATTTAGTCATATCAATAGACTGTCTCCGTTTAAAATAATTTTTCGAGTTTAATAATAATTGATAGGTACATAATTGAATTCAAATTTAATACACCCATAATAATAGTGACCAACTAGACACCTTATGCACGGATAGGTGGTATAAACTTGCCTACCCTTTTTTTATTATTTAAAATTACGACGTTTTACAATCTGTAAAATAAACAATGGTTATAATAATTAAATTTGTCTGAGAAAAATAATCAGGAAACATGAATGAGAAAATCATTCAGTAGTGGCACCCCAGAAATTCTTAATTTTTACACGTACTTAAAAAATTAAATTATTGATTTTAATTTTACATACGATGTCCTCAAAATAGTAATTAATTATTACATTGATTATAGAATAGATAAATGGTTATAACAATAGTGATAGAACATTTTTGAGCAACCCAAGTCAAATACCAAATTTTGTAAAAATGACAATGAAACTAGGAAAACCAAAACTTGATTGAATCTTTAAGACTACGACCAACTTGTGCACTGAAGTTTAATTTATTAATTTATAAGAAATTGATAATGCATTGATTTTTTTTTTTTTTTTTGGTATTTATTGAAATAGTAAATCATTGAAAACAAAATTAGAAATAATTGGAAGCAATATTAACAAATACCTACCTATAGTTGTTTAATATAAGCACCTTAGTAGGTACCTGTTAAAATTAGTAACCTTGGAATATATAATTACTTTTTTTTCCGAAATCGACATTAATGTTGGAAGTTATTGATAGGATTATTTATATACGTAAATAAATTTAAACTTAGAATATTATACTAATAATAGGAAGTAATTATTACTTATTAGTTATTACCTATGGTGTATATACTGTATATCATTTAATTATACGTTTACATTCACTGATTTGTGATACTATATTACTGTCGTAACCTTATGAGGTACGCATATGGTGTAAAAAAGTATTTCCGTAATATAAAAAATACTTTAACTATTTAAACTGCTCAATTTATTTAGGTACTTTAATACTTGTATTTTACAATAAATGATAAAAATAAGGAAAAAATTTAAAGTTCAAATTAAGTAATTGGACTTGCTTATGTTTAAATTATGTATATACGGTGCATCATGAATATAAAAATTTTACATTAAAATAAATTACATTTGTAAGTGTGAGATCATAGTTATACCATACATCTTGTACATTGTTAAGTTATAAATAATTTTATAAATATTTAACTAACGGAATCGTTAAATCTGAATTTAATGATATATAATTGTATAAGAAAAACGATTTTGAGCGAAGACGGTCTGTCAGTGTATACTCTATATGACTACACATCAGCATATTTCATAAAGTTTTGAATAAGCTATTCAAGTCTTTATTTTAGTATTATTTTTAAGGTAAGTTAATATATTTATATTCTTATAAATATATTTTTTCAGTAATTATTGCATTTACTATGTTATTATTATTTAATTATTATAAAAGTAGGTATCTACTTTTATGATATTTGAATGATACAATGATAACTGCAAGTTACGATAATCCATTAATATTAGATATTATAATATAACTTATAAGTACTCACTATTAGCCATAATTATGCAATACGCGTGCTGTGTTCACAAAAAACAAATTATTTTAATATTTTATCGATCGTGATACGTTTCAAATTTCAATGGATACTTTTTGTACGTTTTTATTGATGATACGTCGTTGCTATGGAATGGAGTAACAGTTTAAAACTTACTACTTACGGGTTCTAACTTCTAATGGTATTTTATTACTACTAAACTACCAGGGTACGTGAATGTGGTCGTTCATAACCCATAATACAATTATTGTCTCGTAAACGAACCATAGACATATCAATAAATAAATATATATATTGTAGAATAGTACCTATGGCACAAAATATGGAAATTTTTAAAGAAATAAAAAGTATTAAAGTTTGTACCACATGCGGGTCCTGATACAGGTGGTTGACAAAAGGTATTAGCTGCTGGTGGCCTAGACGTCACGTCTTTGACGAAAACGATTCTTGCACTTTTCCATGACAATTTTTGAGTTTTTCGACGTTATCTATGTTATCTATGGTAAATACCCTGGAACTACAGTCTTAGATTATTTAGCTCCCAACTAAGATAATAATATTATACTTATATAAAATATGATTTTACGGTTATCTGTTTCTGTTATCATATCGTCATTGATATAAATATTATGACCATCGTTCGTCAGATGATAGAATTTATTATTGTATTCATCTCGTTCGCACGCCGTTACGAGTTCACGAGTTACGACCTTTCTAAAGACGAGTTTTCACCCGTCGACTTCAAGTGTGATTGCACGTCGACGGTGTTCTCTCGCTAAGCAGCTGTACTGTTATTTGTGCAGTATTATTATTATTATTATATCGGTGTTCGGTACGCACAAATTACAAAATATGTTTACGGCAATTCAGTTCGCGACGACGTGTTGACATTTCGTACGGTGCCTATGTTCGATCATTATTGTGGTAACCAATAACCACCATTTACACCATTAACGGTGATATTATGCGTTAGGCTTGCGTTACACGATGGCTGCTAAAATACAACCGTTTGATCCTCCGAGTTCTGCCAGTTCCGATAGGTAATTTACCTTGGTCGTAATAACTAACTTAATGGGTGTACTGTAACACTATTTGTAGTAACCTAGTATGCTACTGTAATACTAGTCGCGGTTAAAGTCTTAATTGACCGTTATGGCTATAGTATGCGATGTGCGTAGTTCAGATAGTTTAAATAGTATATTGCTTTTGTACACTGGCCATAGCGGTTTCATTTGTGTTTGACAGTGGTTATTTTTTTGTATGTTATGTATTTTATTTTTTATATTAAACAAATTTAGTAGGTTTTGAATTTTGGGTACCTATATCTTTACTTCCTGATTTTAGATGTTATTTTAATGTGTGTAATTTTTGATGACTTGAAGTGTCTTGTTTGTTTAATTGTATTGTGATATCTAACAAATTTTTAAAAATAAATTCATCAGGAAATACACATGTTAAAAGAAAATAACAATAATAAGGTATTTGTATAATACAAAAGATATTTTTTATCATGTTGATAGATAAATAATTAATTTTTTTAATTCTTTTGATTTTAGTGATTTGAATGAATATCGTGATGTAGTTGGTGACATTTCGATTGCTTTAGATAATGATGACGAAGAAAGTGATAGCATAATCTCATCTAGTATGTCACCATCTAAACAGCCAACTAGTGCACCATCAACGGGTAATAATTTATTTTAATTGTTATAATTATATTTTGTTTATTAAATATAGTAGAACTATTAAGTAACTACATAATGATAAAATTGGCTTGCTTAAAAATTTTAACCATGATCAACAATTGGTATGTTGTTGAAGTTACAAATTGACCTTCTATAATGAGTATGTATAGTTTGTCCAATTCATCTTGGCATTCAGCAATCATTAAGATTTTAAAAAATCAACAACAATTTAAAACTATTTTATATTTAAAAAAATACTATAATTCTATAGACCAAATTTTTGTCAAACCCTGACGGTTGCTGAGTGCTAAAATGTATTGAATAGTTATAATAATACATGTGTTATTATCAATAATATCCAACTTTCTAATTGCACATTTATAAATGAATAGGTAAAACAAAAGACATGATCTCTTAACACACAATTTGTTTTCTGATTTATTATTGCTTCATTTCCATAGTATTTCTGTAAGTTATTTTTGTATTTTTATTTTAATTTAAGTGTTGGTGAAATCTCCTCGGTCAACTTTACGACAAAGAACGACCTCTGTCAGTCAGTCGACTAAAAAAACAGCTACAGAATCAGTATTACAGTCTCACACTCGCACAATTTACACAGCTGGTCGACCACCATGGTACAACACTGCTGGGCAGCAAGTAGAACCATTTGTTATTGGTCAGTATGAATTATAGTTAACTGCACTTCTTTTGGACAATAAAATTTTATGTATTTATAATAACAGATGTGAAATATTGCTAAACTTTTAAATTCTTAACAAAATTAATCTAATTTTATATACAATACAATATTTAGGTGTATGTGGTGGAAGTGCTTCTGGGAAAACAACTGTGGCTAGAAAAATAATAGAATCGTTAAATGTACCATGGGTTGTATTGCTTAGCATGGATTCATTTTATAAGGTTTAATTTATTAATAATAGTATCAATTAAAGTTCAGTAAAAATATTCAATTAACCGTCAGTCATGGGGCCGAATCCTTGATGCATAATCAAATAGACGGTTAACAGTAGTTTTGCAATAAATGTATTTATATATATAAATATTTTACAATGTGTGTATTTTCATATAAATAATAATAATAATAATAAAAAAAAAAAAACAATACATGCATACACAGGCTACTTGTTAGTCACTGATTAAATTAAAAGTGTGTTCACGTCATGCTTATTGCATTTATTGTTTATGTTAAATATTCCAAACTATTTTTGTGTGCTTACTATTTGTGGCAACCAAGTATTGGAAACTATGTTTGCCTTTTTTTTTTTAAAATGACGGTTAATTGAGTTTCTACTGTATTATAATTAACAACTTATCTAATCTATTATTTTATTATTAGGTGTTAACTGAAGAACAACACGAAAAAGCTGCTCATAATGAGTATAACTTTGATCACCCAGAAGCATTTGATTTTGAACTATTGACTTCTACTTTGCAAAGGTTAAAGGATGGCAAGAAAGTTGAAGTACCCATTTATAATTTTGTCACACATGCTAGGGAAACTAAAACTGTAAGCATTAAACTTCTTCTTTAATATTAACTATTGACTAAAATATAGGTATTCGTTTAGTATGTGACCTACTATATGATAATTAATTTAAAAACAATCAAATTAAAAATCATAAAAATTAGATTATTTTGTTCTTATAGGTTATGAATTATATTTAGTTAACAAAATATCATTAAAAAATAGAAATTTCATAAAATTATATTTAGCTATACACTTCAGAGTTTAAAAAAATTGTATCTTGTTTACTGATCTAGACAAGACCACTGAATATATAATAAAATTATAAAGTAATCCTTGGTTATCCGTTCATACTTATGTATGTATATTATTATAGATAATCGTCTTGTTAGGTCACATACTAAACTTGATTTTTATTTGGTCGATTACATACACTACAAATGCCAAAATATGTTTAATATCTTGTAATAATAGGTAATTGTTGATAAATTAGTTTTAGTATTCATGTTAAACTTAATCATTTAATACTGATTCATTTATTTTGTATCTCTCATTAATTTTAATTGGTTATTCTTATTCTAGTTTATAGTGTTTTATATATATATATTTTAAAATTTTATATATTATTATTTATTTTAGAAAACAATGTATGGTGCAAATGTCATAATATTTGAAGGAATTATGGCATTTTATAATGCAGATGTTTTGAAGGTTAGTAATATTTCATTAAAATTGAATATTAATTTAAAAATGCTCAATAGTTTAATTATTTATTATTAATTTTAAATTTATTATTTTATATTTTTTAATAAGAGATTGGTTAAACTTAAGTTTTCACAAATTGTTTAAATTAATCTACCTTTATTCTTAAAGTTTAAGGGTTTGAAAAGTTTAAGACATGCATATTCATGATAAATATTTAAAATGTTTATTTAATTATTTTCTGTGTTTAATTAATTTTTTTATTTTGTACAAATCTTTGTATAAAATATATACCTAAATTCTTGAATGTCAATTTTGTATTTAATTTCAATGACATATAATTTTAGTAAATCTAAAATTATCCATTTTATATTTTTTAATTGAATTTTTACAATCATAATTATTTAACTTTATATTTGTATAGATGTTGGATATGAAGATATTTGTAGATACTGATGCTGATATCAGATTAGCACGGAGACTTAAGAGAGATATATCTCAACGAGGTAGAGATCTTCAAGGTGTTTTAAAACAGTATTGCAATATGGTAAAACCGTCATTTTCACATTATATTGCTCCGTCCATGATCCATGCTGATATCATTGTTCCTCGAGGTGGGGATAATACAGTTGCTATAGAATTAATTGTTCGTCATGTACATAAACAACTACAAGCGGTAACTTTTTTTTATATATTATTATTTTTAAAAGTAATTTTTTTCTCTCTATAATTAATGTAAATTTAAAATTATTGTTGCTTAAAAAGTGTACAAAATATTAGGAATTAGATAGTAGTTAATACATTAGTTTATTTTTTTAGTTTATTAGAAATAGATTAGATTGAATTATCATTATCGTTATCATTGAAATACAGAAATGTAAGCAAAATTAATTGTTATATTTTATGAACTTATTTGCTTACTTACTGTGTAATATAAGTTACTGTTAAAGTTGAAATCCATTACTTTATAATTTAAAAATTTGCTTTAATTATAAGTATTTACATTAAAATAAAATTAATACTTTATTTAGAAATTGTATAGCATAACTAGTTCATCTATACAATTTTTAATTGAGGATAACTAAAATATATATAACATTAATTAAAGAATAAGTGTGAAATATTTATTTTGATATTAAAAATATTAATTACATTCAGGAATAATAATTTATTTTACATTAGAATTATTCTTCATTTACATTTAGAAAAAAATGAAAATCTTAATAAAAAAAAACATAAAAATGTTTACAATTTTATAAAAAATATTTCAGGATGAAAATATAAATCTAAACCTTACAACTATTTTTATTTAATATAATTTGTTAATAATATTTTATAAATTAAGTTAATTTACTATTCACCTAAATTTGAAACGAAAAAAAGTGTAATATCTACCATTTGTTGTTACAAAATTGTATTTGGTGACATTTTTAATTAGACAATATACCATTTTTAATAGTCTTGTAGACATGATAAAGATGAAATTTTCATTATTTATTGGGAGTTAGTTTATTAATAAAATAAAATAATTAATTTAATCATCAATAGCATGAACAACGCCAATAAGTCGTATTTTACATGCCATCAATTTTTATATTTTATCCTTATTACTTACAATATAAGTAAATAATACAATTGAATAATCATGGAGAACTTATAAAATATATAGTTAATTTATATTTTAATTGGTTAGTGTATAAAGAGTTCCTAGATATTTAATGAAATGACAAATTTCATACTTTAACACTTGCATATACATATATCAAAATAAAAACCTACTTAAAAACAGACGATCATTAATTTTGGCAAAAGTTCACCATAATCTTATATTAAAAATAACAAATCTATATCAATCATGTACGAAGTAAATTTACTATCTGACTAAAAGAACAATTACAGATATTGATCTCTTACAATAAACAAATTTTTAAATTATTATTTATTAAAATTAATTTTAGTAGTCTACTTATAGTTAGCATTATTAAGATTTATTTTTGATAATAATTTTTATTAAATTTATTTTGATCTGATATCTCTTATTGCTTAGTTTATTAAAAAAAAGAAAATAATTTTTGATTTCTTCTTTTATGAATGTAATTATGAAGATTGTATACTAAAAACGTAGTTATTAATTGAATTAGGTTTAAAGTTACTTTCAACTTAAAATATTTATACAGGTAAGACAAAATCATTTTGCTGCATTATGAAAGGATTCCATTTAACGGAATTTCAAACATTGTGTCATTTTGGTTGAGAAGTTAAGAGAAACATTGAGAAATGACTTATATTAATAAATATCAAAACTTATAATTAATTATTTGTGATTAAATTTCATTGTTTTACTATAATTTATATTTTATTTCATATAACCAAAAAAAAAATAATTAAAATAAATGAATTTGTTTAAAATAATTAAAAATGTATTATTCATTTAACTATTTCTTAAACTTTGTGTTCAAAAAAAAAAAGAACATAATATTTTTTCAAAAAAAAAAAAATAAGTAATTATCATATTTACTTTCAACAAGGTTCATATCATCATTAAAATTTGTATACATTTGGAATTCGGTACTTACAAATATTTAATAATGTTTGGCAAAGGTAATATTTGATTTAACACTTGACATTAAAACGTATGAACTGCTAATGGCAGGGGAGGTGTACTTAAAAAAATGAATGATTTGAAATAATTATTATTACAAATAAAATAATATTTTATAGAAATCAAGTACTAAAGAAAAATAATGAACTGGAAATAGAATTAATCACTTAACTTATTTGGTTTGCTCACATACAAGCTAGTGTGGAATTGCTATTTAAACTTAAAAACAATTATCAATAATATAATAAAGTATTAATAGTTGATTTAATCTTGAAAATTCAAATTTTATTAATAAAAATACTAAATTAATATTTTTCTAAATTAAAAATAAATGTGAGCATAATAATCTTCCAGATATAATTATAAAATTATTTATATTTATTTTTATGTTGATTTGCAATATTAATTTCATAATTGACAGTAGGTCTATAAATGTTTTGAATTTTGTACTTACAAATATTTAAAAATATGAGGAAAGGTAATTCAAAAGAAATCATAATTAATCAACAATATTAATTTGTATACTACTTTGTTAAAAAATATATAATAAATATTATAGGTAATATAATAACATTTTTGGTGAACTGTTTAAGAGTGCCCTTAAAGCATTGAATAATTTAAATCAGTTATTATCACAATTTTAGATTTCATAGAAATTAAATAATAAAGAAAAATATGATTGAAAACATGACTTATTGTTTTACTTGAACATAAGTCAGGGTTGTACTGCCATTTTAATTCAAAAGCAATGATAAATTATTTAGTGTTAATACATGTTAAACTATGTATTAATAGATAATTACCCCATTAAAAAAATAAAAATATATTGTATGTTCTAAAATAATAATTTTGTCTAAAATAATTTCTGTATAATGAATTTAATGTATTTTTCATAGCATATTGTTAACATTATTGTTGTTATTAATTTATAATTTATTTATACTGTTGACTTATGATTTTTTTTTTTTTTTTGAGATAAAAAATGTTGTTTAATTAAGTTAAATCAATTAATATATATATTTTATCTATTTGATTCATATTAAAGGTAGTGTTATTATTATTTACTAGTTTGTGTAAATAATTTATAAGTCATAAAACGATATTATAAAGACAGTGAAACAATGTTAGTTCATTGTTTGTAAAATAAATATCTATGGCCATTTTGAAAATGTTATCTATGGATTGTAGACAATTGTGATTGGCTGATATATTTTTAGTAACACAATCTTTATTAATAATGTACAAATAATAAAATACTTAAAATTGTAAAATAGTATTAATGTTTAGTTATAAATTTGAGTTACATACATCAGGTTAGATATGATTATAATTTTCATGTATAAATTAACTTTGAAATAAGTTAATATAAAAATAAAATAAAATATACCTAAATATTTATATTATTGATATATATTTACAATAATTTATCTAATTTATATTCCCATGTTTTTGAAAAAAAAAAAATACATATTTTAAAACGATAAATTATTTTTCTATGTTTCAGCGAGGATTTAAATTACGAGAAACACTTGCAATGTCTTATATTGGTCAACCTCTACCCAGTTCTATTCATCTATTGCCGTCTACACCACAAACCCAAGGCTTACATACCTTTATACGAAACAAGGACACGCCTAAAGATGAATTTATATTTTATTCCAAACGGCTTATTAGACTAGTTATCGAGTTTGCGCTATCATTGTTGCCATTCAAAGTAAGTGGTATTAGTTTTCTTTTTCTTTTTTTTTTGTCTCAAAAAATAAAATTAATAGTTATGTAAGGTTAATGAATTAAATCTATTGTGTTTTATTTAGGATGTTATTGTAGATACTCCCCAGTGTGTGCCATATTCTGGTAAGAGATGTGCTAGTGACAAGATATGTGGTGTGTCGATTTTGAGAGCTGGAGAAACAATGGAACAAGCAGTTTGTGATGTTTGCAAAGACATACGTATCGGGAAGATTTTGATTCAAACAAATAGATCTACTGGCGAACCAGAAGTATGTGATTTGAATATTTATTTTGTTTAGTTTAATTAACTTATGTTGTTTAAATGTAGCTCTATTATTTGCGCCTACCTAAAGATATTAAAGACTATATGGTAATTTTAATGGATGCTACTGTGGCTACCGGTGCAGCTGCAATGATGGCCATTCGAGTACTTTTAGATCATGATGTTCCTGAAGAAAATATTTTATTGGTGTCATTACTAATGGCTGAATCTGGTATGTATGTTGTTTAATTAGACATAGTAAAATGCTAAATTATTGTTAATATTTTTAGGGGTGCACACAATTGCATATGCATTTCCTCAAGTGCGCATTGTCACATCAGCTGTCGATCCAGAAATAAATGAAAAATTCCATGTTTTACCAGGAATTGGTAATTTTGGTGATAGATATTTTGGCACTGAACCGGAAGAGTACTTATCCAGTTAGTGAAGCAATTTAACTGAAGTCCTTAATAATTAATCATGCTGAATTTTTATTACGAGTCTTATTAACTTACAATTATTTTTAAAAATTCTTACAACTATTAATTTCTCACAATACTGTATATTAAGGTGTTTTGAAATTAGATGTACTTAACTTAATGTAAGACTTCTAGTATTAATCAGATTAATGGTTTATAATTGTTTAATAATTGGATTGATATCATTGAATAAACAGTTTTATTTTATAATGAGTTCAGACGTGTCCAAACAATTTATGTATTCTTCATTCTCATCAGTCATCATATATAATTTATACTGAGTCTATATTCTATAGTCCATGACAGAAAATGTCATCAACATAATGGTCACTATAACAGTCAACTTGTTCATCAAGACATATTTTGCTCTTGTTGATATACATTATTTTACAGATGATTATTGTTATCTGTTCAATCAATCGGTTGGTGGTGATAGTCAGCTGTTAACCAGTGTAAATACAATATTATTATACTTACTTAATCAACTTAATCAAATGTGTTATTAATTCACAAAATGTTGATGTTTCATAATATTTTTCATGTTTAATAATACTGGGTTTAAAAACTTTTAATGGAATAAAATAATGCAAAAAGCGTATAGTCAATAATATCCCATGATAAAAAATACTAGTTTATAGCTAAAAGAGTAATAAATTATTATTTATTGTGTTGTAAATGTTGTGAAAAAAGATAAACCTTTTATTAATATTGAGAAGTATAATCTTAAGTGTTATTATTAAAATGTTAGGAGGTTATATACTAAAATTCATGATTTACATTGTAATATTCTCTGTATAAATTCAGATATTTTAATTCTAGCTGAGATTTGGTTGAATGTAAATTTATATCAGACGAGAAACAAAAATTTTTTAATCATAACATAATATACTGAATGGATTGGTGATATTGATATAATAGAATGAGTAGATGCTGAAAGGGAGGAAGTATTGCAATTTGTGTTCGCTAGGATTTGGTTTCAGAACTTATAATTGCTTCACACGAAAACACGAATAATAATTCGTTAAAAGTATGTGCTGGGTAATGTAAACTGTATTGTCTGTTCATGTTAAATTCCTCCATCGAGTCCAATGAACATTTTCTACAACCTATGTCGTGATCGTGGAATGGATAAAGTTGAAAATATTTCAGACGGTGATAGTACCTACTAAAATGTGTAGGTACAGCAGGAGACTATAACTTATCAGGATTTCGTTTTGATGACAATAATGTTATAATGCTGTACTGTGGTTGTACTTAGGTCAGCAATTAAATATTTTTGATATCATTTTTGAATCTTTCTTATCATTGTTTTTTTCAATATAATGGTATAGAATAAATTTGGTCCCGCGTAGGATTTAGTTCAGGAAATCGTGGCTTAAGTGTGTCAAACTATAGATAGCTCAATATGTATAGGTGTCAAATATCGATTCTTATCCACTATTGCTTTTTGAATTTAATGTTAAGATCCCTTCACTCTGTATTTTAGAAAGGCGATTATGTTAGTACATCTAAAAAATTAGGACGAGTTGACTGTCTTGTTTGATTTATGGAAATGACTTGTTTCACTTGAATCAATTTTAAATACAATTCTTAATATGGTAGACACACGGTTTTGTTCCTAAATTTTATTCTATTTCTCGTACTTCACCTGAATGATTTTCCCTAAGGAGTTAAACAATTTTATTATTTTTATTTGAAAGAAAAATAGATATAAAACCTGTAAGAAGCAGAATCGTCAAGATGCATGTTTAGAGTTTTCTGAGTTATACCTAAGATGTGAATAAAATTATAAATTATTCTTCAAGTCTTGCTAGGTACTCAAAATATTTACTTAAAAGTCAAGTGACATTAAAATCGAATTCAAAATATTCATGAACTTATGTTAAATGTCGAAAGAATGCTAAATCTATGTAATTCTTAGTTTGTTAAACATATTTGTTCCTAAATAATATCCTATTTTTTGTACTTTACCTAAATTACATTTTAAGGAGTTCCGAAATCTTATTTGCAAGAAAATAAGATTACATTAAGTCTATAAGCAGTATTATATATAAATCTACCGATGAAAATAATCAGATAAAAAATAGCCATGAATCAAAAATTCAAGTCAAACATTACCTACATTATAATCATTACCTAGTTATTATAAACTTATTTATTTCGATATTTTTATTTAGATTCTACTTATTGATAACTATTTTTTACAAAGTATAAAATTCTTTAAATTATTTCTTACATTTATCCTAAAATAACTATTAAATACCTACCTATTACTTATATAATATACATAGAATATTGATAGGTATATAGGAAGGTACTATTAATATTATTTGTGTCTAAAATATTATTATCTACCTATATTAGGTATATTATACAAACAAGACAAATTTTGAAGTCACATATTTTAACCTAACAAAGTGTATACTTATATATGATCAAACACAGATTGAACATTTTCAGACGATTGACGAGCGACAAATATAATATATTATTAAACTATGGCATTATTGGCATTATGCTCTTACGACAAACGAAAACTATATATTATTACTACGACGCCAGCTGTAATGTGGCTTTGTTTGCAAATTTCCGGTTTCTTGTGTATGGCGGCGATTTTGGCGTCCGGAAATCCGATAAACTATAGTAATTTATTTTCATTATCAACGTAGGAACATATAATATTAATAACAATAATAATAACTATAATAATAATAATAACGTAAGTACTGTATAAGTACTAAGTACTAAAGTACGTTTTATATAGGTAGTAAGGTAAATATCAATATAATATTAATTATGTTAAATCGATATACGAGTACCTACATGCATTTAACGCAGGATGGGCTGAAGTGAACCTAGTAGGATGAAATAGCATATTCTCATTTTTTTGAATGTTTATTAGCATAACTTTAATATTACGATTTCATCAAAGTTAATTTAACCAATTCTACCTCTATAGAAGTACGATAAAGAATGATTTTTGATACCTACTATAAAAATAATAACAATTCGTGAAAAATGTGTTATTAAAATAATAATTTTAACAAACCTACTTTTTTGATTGAAAATTTTTGTAGATACTTTATCATCACATTATTAAGTTGGGTTTGAATTAATTATTAAAATTATAATTGTACATTTGTTATTATTTAGCTTTTGGCGAAACAATTCGTGTACAGTTTTAAAACTGATGGCTAAAATGGTCCACATTTTAAAAAGTAATTATGCCTGAAAACTCTAAAAAGAATTACACAGGGTGTTTTAAAGTACATTAAGGCAATTATTACATTTTAATATTATATTAATCATGATAATATTTATAAAACTAGACGACTATCATAATACCATTTTTTAAAATTTTTTTGTCACTTCATTGATTTTGATATTTTTTGCCATATTTTGAACATTTTTATTTATTTTCTATTTTATTTTTTGTTTATAATATGTGGTATTATTATAGACTATCATTTTTATTACACATTAGTCATTACATACTCTGTACATTTAATATATTACGTATGTCGTATACTGTATAAACATTTACACAGTGCGCGATTCGCCTGGGCCAAGACCCAGTTGGACCAGGCCATAGTTCTGCCTATAGTTAAAGCAAATATTTTTAAGCAGTTTTTTTATTTTAACAATTATGTTATAACGACAGGGACTAATAAATAATGTAAAATCAAGACTAGCTTGTGAATTTCTTACCTATATATACATTAAGTGATCTTAATTATGTACCAATGGTATTAAAAAAAAAAAAAAAAAACATAAGAAAGGGAACCACTTCACCTCTTCGACAATATTAAATGGTTTATAACAGAAATAAAATACCCGATCCACTTCATCACCCTACACGTGTAAGTAAAGTGCACTACCTTTTAGAACAAAAAAAAGTATAAAAAACTTATACAATATTATAAATTTTGATCAAACAGATTTGGATTCTTAAGAAATTTAATATATCAAAATTTCAGGCGCGGTTATTTCCTTCGTGGAATACGAATAGCATATATAATGTAATTTAAAAGTATTTTTTTTTATATACAATTTTAAGTTATTACAAATTATAAATATTATGAAACAACATAACTGAAAAAAATAAATATGTTTAATATTTTTTATTAGGTATTATCAATTTTTATGTTTCTTTTTTTATCTTGTAAACGTATATAAATAATTACATAATAACAAATATTTATAAATACATAACTAAATTAAAATTTTTTTATTACAATGAATAATATGTTATATTATGTGTTTTAATTCTCAGACTTTGGCATTATTGACTCATTCCACCAATAGACTCTAATGTTGTAGTTTAAAAGTGAGTCCAAAAAGTGCGTTTATCGTACTTATGGTATAGGTATAAGTTCACTCTGGTCTATCCGAGTGTTGACCGTCTTGAGTTTTATCAAAATTTAAGTAGTTGTAGTATTTTTATAATCAATTGACCTACGTACTTACTACTGGCGTATATTTTTGAATTAAATCAAATATATAATATTGTTTCATGTTTCATTCGTCTAGTAACACGCATATTTATAATACATTACACCTATAATAAAGTGATTAAATAAAAAGAATAATCGATAACTATAGATTAATAAAATATTTGAATATTATTCGCAATGCATTGCATATAAATTGCATAAGTTGTAAGGTAAAATACTAACAGATGTCGACTTTATTTAAATACCTATAAAGAGTTTTTCTTATAAAGGTTAACACTTGATTTCTCGAAATGTTAACGTTTTTGAATTTTTTTTTTTTTAAATAATTAAAGTCAGTGTAAAACAAGCTGTTTTAAAAAATTTATAAAACAACTATTTTTTTATCATCATCAAGCTTAAATACTTTTTTGAATAACGATATAGTGCATTTTTAATTTTATTCACCTAAGCATAATATTTTTCTAAGAAATTCAATATTTAAAAATCGAATTTTAAACGATTATTTCATGAGT